GGGCTGTGCCCTGGGGCGGGATGGTGCTGTGCTGTGGGGTGGCACCCTGCGGGGTGCTGTGCCGTGGGGCGGGCTGGTGCTGTGCCATGGGGTGGGATGGCATCCTGTGCCGTGGGGTGGGCTGGGGGGCACCCTGCAGGGTGCTGTGCCCTGAGGTGGGCTGGTGCTGTGCCATGATGTGGGATGGCATCCTGTGCCATGGGGCGGGCTGCTGTGCTGTGGGGCGGGATGGTGCTGTACCACGGGGCAGGACGGTGCTGTGCCATAGGGCGGGCTGGGGGGCACCCTGTGCCTGGAGCAGGATGGTGCTATGCTGTGGGATGATGCTGTGGGGCAGGATGGTGCTGTTCCACGGGGTGGGATGGCATCCTGTGCCATCGGGCGGGCTGGGGGGCACCCTGCAGGGTGCTGTGCTGTGGGGTGGGATGGTGCTGTACCATGGGGCAGGATGGTGCTGTGCCGTGGGATGGCACCCTGCGGGGTGCTGTGCCATAGGGCGGGATGGTGCTGTACCATGGGGCAGGATGGTGCTGTGCTGTGGGATGGCACCCTGCAGGGTGCTGTGCCATAGGGTGGGCTGGGGGGCACCCTGTGCCTGGAGCAGGATGGTGCTGTGCTGTGGGATGATGCTGTGGGGCAGGATGGTGCTGTGCCATGGGGTGGGATGGCATCCTGTGCCGTGGGGCGGGCCGTGGGGCACCCTGAGGGGTGCTGTGCCCTGGGGGGGGATGGTGCTGTGCTGTGGGATGGCACCCTGTGAAATACTGTGCCCCAGGGCACAGGATGGGACCCTGCACGGTGCTGTGCCAGGGGGTGGGATGCACACCCTGTGGGGCAGGGTGGCGCCCTGTGCCATGGGGTAGGATGGTGCTGTGCCATGGGGCAGGATGCACACACTGCAGGGTGCTGAGCTATGGGGTGGGATGGCATCCTGTGGGGTGCTGTGCCGTGGGGCAGGACACACAATGTTCGGGGTGCTGTGGGATCAGGTGGCATCCTGCAGGGTGCTGAGCTATGGGGTGGCATCCTGTCGGGTGCTGTGCCATGGGGCAGGATGCACAGCCCATAGGGTGTTGTGGGGTAGCATCCTGCGGGGTGCTGAGCTATGAGGTGGGGTGGCATCTTGTTGGGTGCCGTGCGTGGGGTGTGATGCACACCCTGCAGGGTGCTGTTCTGTGGGGTAGGACGGTGCTGTGGGGCAGGGTGACATCCTGTGGGGTGCTGAGCTATGGGGTGGGATGGCATCCTGCGGGGTCCTGAGCTATAGGGTAGTGCCGTGGGGCAGGGTGATACCCAGCAGGGTGGCGCTGTTCTGTGGGGTGGGGCAGCATCCTGCGTGGTGCTGTGGGGTGGGGTCCTGTGGGGTGCCATCCTACGGGGTGCTGTGGGGTGGGGTGGGGTCCTGTGGGGCAGGGTGGGATGCTGTAGGATGCTGTGGGGGGCGGGGGGGGAGGGG